TGACTCCCTCATTTCATCCGCCAACTGACTGCTTATCGTTTCCCACAATTTCCGCTCTCCGGGATCTTCTAGAACCGAACTACGAATTTTTGAAATATGTAGCTCACAACTGTGCGCATGCCCCGCCCACAGTGGGCGGGGCTTAGCTCAGTTCATGTGTGTTCCGTACATCTTGGCCCATGCCCTACCCAACCCACCCTTGACCCGCCCCCTCCAACTGGCTCTTCAGGTGATTCCGAATTTCCGGACAGACACTACGATTCGCAGACGACATTGTCCTTATCAGTCAAAACTCAGCAGAGCTACAGCGGATGGTGGAGGAACTGAACAACGTCGGCAAAGCTATTGGCCTCACGATGAACCGGAGCAAGACCGAGGTCATGCGCAATGAGTGGGCAGATGCGTCACCCATCACACTCGAAGGCACTGCTCTACCGGATACCGACCGTTACGTTTACCTTGGTCGACTCATTTCCATGGACAACAATTTGCGCGAAGAAATTATGAGACGCAAAAAATGCGCATGGACGGCAATGGGACGCATAAGAGAGGCGGCCCAGCTCATTTCGGATAGGAAAATACGAGCTGCTCTGTTCGACTCTACAGTACTGCCTGCACTTTGTTACGCATCCGAGACGTGGGCAGAGAACAAGGCGTCCACGCTGATGTTGACACGTGCCCAACGAGCATTGGAACGGACCCTGCTGAATATCAACCGCCGTGAGCAGAGATGTCGCAATCTGCGCAGTACAGACATGCGCTCAATGTCGGGCATCCTTGATGCCGTAGTATACGCGTGGAATGCAAAGAAGAGATGGGCCGGACATGTGGTCAGACGGTGGACCACTCGCATCACACTCTGGTATCCGAGAGACGCGAAGCGCAAGGTTGGCCGCCCTGCAACCCGTTGGAGAGACTCCTTGAAGCAACTCCAAGATTTTGCAGACCAACACTGGGTCCAAACCGCTCAAGATCGCAAACAATGGAGGGAAGCGTGTGCTCGTCGCTGAAGAGAACCGGCTGAAAACGAGCGTCCAGGTATCCAAGTAAGTATCTGTTCTACAAAAATACGTTCTATTTTATCTTGCCTACTTCTGATCCAGCAGTAGATGTCTAGCTGTCAGCTTGGCATAATGAATCAGACTATGTCGACTGCATGGAAGGAGTCGGGCCTATTGCTCTGCTATCAGTGCTAGCGCGCGTTTTGTTTTACGAGTTAAGAAAGTCGAGCACAAATAAGGTGGGCATACGCGGACTGATACGCCCTACACAACACAAGGACTGTAGTCGTGACTTTGTCTTTCATTTGGAGATAGTTTGGTGATATCCCAACGACCTCGATTTGAACACACAAGCAAATAAAAGATTGTGTGGTCTATAAAGAACAGTTGGCACGATAATTTGTACCGTCTAAATACTAGCAGGTGTCTATATAGCGGGATAATAGCGAAAAAAGGAAGTAAAACGGCAAAACTTTCTGAGAAAATACGTAGATTGTGTTATATGCAACTCATACATCCATGCAGCACGGCCTGAGCCTCTCATGTTTATCTCATGCTCATATTTTACTTCGCAAATAAGCAATACAATCAGAAATGGTCGTCCATTTGTGGCGGCCGTTGGTCGGTATGTTGCAGCTCGATAAGCAGCTATAAGGGCACCTTCTCTGAATGCAGCAGCTGCTCAGGGGCGAAGAATCCGTCCTGCCAGGCGTAGTATTCTTACTCGTCTTACGGACTTAATGTGCCAGCTGCCTTTAAGCTAACCAATCATCCTGGCGCTGTTGAAAAGAACATATTTATTTTCATATTGAGCATCAGTACAAGTACAAAGATAGGATAGACACTCATTCAGCAGCATGGACCATGACAGTTGTCCTTCGACTCTGGTTCTTTGGAGGGCGTTCCGTCGCTGTCATTCGGTTTTGGAGGAGGAGGAAGTGTGTGTCCACGACAATGTTCTGTCTGAAAGACAAGCTGAGAGCTACTGTTGAATTCTGCGGATGATTCATATGGCGTTTCATGACACTTCCGCTTATCGTGGGCACGTTTTTTTCGCTTGATGTATCTGATCGTCGCAATCAGGCGGTGCAGGTGAGCTCACCCGCAGCTGCGTTTCTTTCCAATACTTGCCCATTCAGGTAGAAAACCATCAGTGGTAGAGAATAGTGCAGGTAAGCTCATTCCACGCCTCACGACACTCCTCCCCTCACTCCACGGTCAAGCATACGTCGCGGAATCCACGACGGGGGGGGGTCGCATTCGGCCTCTTTTCTAAGGGAGAGGGTCGTTTTGTAGGGATCAGTATCCTTTCATTTATAAGCCAGTAACTTTGTGTGTCGTTTTGTATGTATGTATGTCTGTCCGTCCGCAAATGTTTCACGGGTTCGAATTACTGGAGGGAAAAACGACCGCTAGGCAAACCGGAAATCGATTGGTGCAGATGTATCAATCCAATGTTTTGATTGTGATAACAGCCTCCACTATATAAGACAACCATTCGGTACACTCCGAGCCATTGCACGAGCTGCTGGCGTGGCAGCTGGACGTGGCTCGTGCGGGGGCAGGGTGGGGTGGAGCCAAGGGGGGGGCACACCCCTACCCTCCTTCCCCTGTACGTGCTCAGCTGGACCTGAGCATGTGCATGTGCATGTGAAGGAAGTAGAGGGGGGGGGTGTACGGTGAAGGGGACGGGGAGCGCAGCGCACGCTGAGTAGATAGCTGAAGAGGAGGACAGCAGACGACCGCTAGCAAAACCGCGAGGTAATCCAGAATCGAGTAAATTAAGATGTTGTTCTGATTGTGATAATACCCTCACCCTATACAAGACAACAATTTAGTACACCCCAAGCCATTGCTCAAGCGGCAGCTGGAGGTGAGTTCGCGGGTGGGTTGCTCCATCTTTACGACTCGATCAAATTATGGGTATGGGGGAGTGTGTAGTTTGCCTGAAACAGGAAACTCCGGAACAGAAAACCTGAATAATGCTTCGCTTCATGCGTTCAACAGCCCTTTTTACTTTTGACCATTCAATTACAGATGAGAACGAATAACAAGGGAGTGTAGTACCTACTAATAATAATACTTTAGGGAGCGGACCGCATGCTAATTGAAAAGGGGAAGCATTCATCGGTAGGCATTTCGGTGCAGGTGATGTAAACGAAATCTGTTCTTCTACTGAGTGATTCACATTGCGCTGTATTTTCCGACTACTATGCTAAGTAGTGCAGGATCCTAAGCCTTGCTCTATCTGTTACGATTCGATTCCTACAGCGCCGTATGAGCAGCCCACTATTAAAAAGGCTCCGTTAAAATTATGGAGCGCGCCTGGCGAAGCCAGGCCAGCTCGGCGAAGCCGAGCTAAAGAGAAGGAGGAGAGCTCGGCGTTAGCCGGGCGATCCGACTGGTAAATGTATATAATATAAATAGCAGGAACGTTGCTTGCAGAACGAGTGATGCGTTTGATGGAAGGTCGAGTACATGGCATTGAGGTATTGAACAGCACCTCTCTGCTGCAGTCGCCGCCTTGTCCTTTCTATTCACTACATGACGAGGGGGAGTACGGAGGCCTTCCGAGCTTTCTAGTTGGAAATATGGGCAGTGCATGTGAGAAGATCCTCAATGCTGCGGCGTAAGCTAACTCTCAAATAAAAATCCGCGACGGGATAACTTTGCGATGAGTAACCTACAGCAAAATCATTGTGCTCATTAAAAAGACAGAACCTTCTTCTTCAAAAAGCTTTGTAGAAATTAATTCTACGTTATGTATCAACGGGGTTTACTTATTCATTTATTTATTTCTTTACACCATAAGGTGCCACAAATTGCTACACTATAATAAACTCATTGAAACTTAATATTTCCACTAAACATTAAGACAGAGAGAAGGAGCACACGCTATTCATACTACTTCCTGAGAAGAGAAAAAGGTTATAAGTGAAGATTATAATCAAACAATTGTAATATAGTCCTCCCCTTGACAGCTGATGAGGTCCACTAGTCATGTCAAGGGGAAAGCTATATTACAAGTGCTCAATTGATGTTCAATTAATTTATGGCCTTTAAAAGGTGAAGATCTCGCGTTTGTCAAAAATACTCTGCATTATTTTTTTGATTTTCCGCGACGCCGAATTTTGCCGAATCAAGCTAGAGCAAAGCTGTTGAGCTTGTTCGAAAGGGAAAATCCCCTAGTTCCCGCTGCCGTGTAGATCTCCGTCCTGCGTTATTTCTGAACTAAGTTTTCTATTGAACGACGAAGATCGCGTTCGCCAAAAATTTTCCGCGTTATTTTCTGGCTGGAAGCCTTCAAGCGAGCTTGAGGGAACTAGTAGTGTGTTTCGTTTAGAGTCTGGCCATATAACTTGAATCGTCCCTACCGCTCTGCGAAAGATGGTTTCTGAATAAAGTTATACCGTTTCATATCAAACAAGGTGAATGCAATGTCTAATCTCAGTACAAGCGCACCCGCAGGGTGTTCAACGTCTCGGCTTTACGTTGCTTTGTTTCGACGATGTGCTGCAGGTTTTTTCGAAGTTCTTCTCAGTACTCCTTGGAAATAAATCTCTTCAATTTTTAGTGTTTTCTTTCGATTGGTCTGGTAAAGGCTCTTAGATACGCAGGTACTCATTCGATAACACTCGCATAAACACAACATATACAGCTACATCCTTATGGACACTGCTGATACCTCCACACAATCTACATTCACTCAAAGGGGGAGGAGGTCATACAGACACCCCTTTTCTACACAAGACAAAAGTGCCTCACCTCAGCTTCATCCTGCTCCCACGTCGTTGGATCGTCCCACACTCGAGGTCTTGTATAGATACAACAGCAGTTCGATTTTAGGCGACCGAGGTGTTCATTGTCTGCATCGAAAGTTAATCATAAGACAAAAGCTTCCTCCATGTTACTCCGTTCAAAGAACAGTGGCACACTAAATGCTAAGGAATGGGGCTATGGATCACAATGATCAATTGTTAGTACATTCCTGTCGGTACTGAAGGCCCGTGATAGCACAATGGGGTGCAGTAAAAAAAACATGCAGTAACGGCACCGTGCGGAAACCATCAGAGTATTTGACAGCTACTTGACTTTACGCACCGCTGCGGGGAATCAGTTAAGTTCTGGTGCGAATATCGCACACGTGACAACACCTATAACAACTTCTCCGCAACGATCGTCGTAGCTATGCTCAACTACACTTTCATATGATGTGTTCAAGTCATCAAACCACGATGCAGTCTGTGTCTTGAGCGGCCACTCTTCAGCGAGTCCTAGCCACATCATGCACTGATGTGACAAGGTCAAGTCATACTGTCTCGTTGAGAGCGCAGATCAATCGGCATGGATTTGCTTCAAAGCAGCTTTCGCAAACTTGTTACCCGCTTTCATAATTTGCGACGACGTCTTCGTGCGACCAATAGCGTCCACGAGTGTTCTGAGGGTCCGGCAGCGTCAGTGGCTAGGAAGGTATAATTATTGTTCTGGCGTGCACCAGCGTCTACCGGGAGAGGAGGGTCTGGCGCGAAAGGAGGGTAGCAGACAGCTAGTACCATCCGTCAGCAGTCCGCTGCCCTTCTATCGCGCCACACTCTCCTTTATCGGACGCTGATAGACGCTAGGAGACACTGGAGGGCGCTGTCAGATGCGAGATTTAATTTATTATCGGTACGAACAATGCCACCTAAAGGTTTTGAACATATTGCGAACTAACATTCCGATACCATCAGATGGGATGGGAAGAAAAGGAAGGAGGGGTAGGGAGACTGGAAGGGGAGGGAAGCAGGGGGTGTGGGCGCGTCTGGGAGTGGCAGATGATAGATAGCTCGGAAGGGCAGTGGCCGCCACACTGCAAGTTCGGACCAGCTTCAACACGAACTCCGGATACCATCGTAGTAGGTCCGCCAACGTCGCTAGGAGGCCAACTCCCATTGCGCAACACCAACAGCAGCAGGTACAGGTAAAAAAGGGGGGGGGGCATCATAAGGTGCAACAAGATTACAACTGAGAAGAAGAAAGAAAAAAAAACGAAACGAAGCCAGACACCAATATAAAAAACCCAAACCTAACTTGAACATTAACACAATGAGCTATATATTGTTTTTTTTTGTCTCAACGAGCTCACGCGAGATTACAAGTAGGCAATGTTAATTCGAAAGAAACGAGCCTTGGAAGGAGGATGTTTTGGCAATGTGGGCGCGCAAGGTAGGAGTGACCCCTTGCTAAGCCTTTAGTGGAAGACATTCAAAAAAGATCATCAACTCAACACTTATTTCCCCAGTTGTTAATTTGCACAGCAGCCCAAGGTCATGCCTTTCGCCGGAACTCAGCGACTCCGCGTCAAGTTTATGGAGACGTCGTTCATAAGATAGTGTGGTGATACCTTTCCGATAAAAGCACCTATATGTGAAGCTCTTTTGCACTCTTTCAATTTCATCAATTTGTGATCGTTTACAAGGCGACCAAATGGGAGAGCAGTACTCAAGGAGAGGCCGGACATAGAGTGTGAAAAGCCGAAATAGCAGGGTTGGGTCGCGTGTCCGAAACGCTCTGAGTATGAAATTGGCCCTCATGTTAGCATTTGACGTAATTTGACTTATGTAGCTGTCGAATTCGAGTTTGTCGCTATACATCAGACCTAAATCACGCACATGAGGCACATTCAGCTCACAGGCACATTCAAGGGCTTTCCCAACATTGTGAAAACAAATCCGGATGATTCTTCCCAACTCTCACAATAACTGTTTTAGGTAGGGAGATTCCCAGCTGCCATTTGTCTGACCAGCTTCTCAACAGCATCGATAGCGGCCTGCAATCTCTCGCAGTTATTCACGGTATAAATCTTCGAGTCGTCAGCGTACATACTACAGAACGTACCCATGGGGAGGGATTCGACAAGGTCATTCACGTAGATATAAACATGAGTGGACCCAAACATGTGCCCTGAGGCACACCGCTAGGCGTAGGGTACGTGAAAGACTTCACATTGTTGATAACTACTGCTTGGGTTCTGTTGACCAAAAAAGACTCGAGGAACCGAAGAAGCTGACCTCCTACGCCATAGGATGCCAATTTTTTCAACA